CAGCAGCAACAACACCAGCAATAACAACAGCAGAAATAGCATAATCAGCAGCAGCAACAAAAACAGCAACAGCAGCAGCAATAGCAACAAGTAACAAAAAACAAAAACAGGTCATAATAATTTATTGAAGTAATCTGTGGTAATAATTTGAGTCATAATCATTTTAGTATAGAAAATGTCATACCTTTGAAGCCACCCTCTAGCAAAGAAGTAGCACGTATTCTTGTCTGGCCTGCCCACTCATACTCATCAAACGTTGCTTGACCATTAACTTCTTCATTACCATCTCTCTAAAGACACAAGCATACAATTGGCATCAGGGAGCACAAATTATATTAATTCAGAAGTGTTTATCAGTGATAAAAGAGGATTACCTTATGGTGTGTACAGTTGTATAGTCCATGAAGAAGTATAACAACTTGCCCACCAGTTTTACCATTCTTTTGTTCTAATCACTATTTTTTAACTACTATACAGTAAAGGTTCTTAGACTGTCTTTAAATTTAAGAAAACCTGATGTAAATTGATCTAAGAATAATAATTCAGATTGGCTAACCTTTCTTAGACAAGCTTCGACATGAGAGTTGAGTTCCTCTCCACTTCCATGGATAACTGACTCGCACACTGGACATGTTGCTGATCTTACCCCTGATGGACCTTCATCATTCTTATCAAGCAAGTAGGATGGGTTGACAGGAGAACCTAACACAGATAACATCATGTTATTATCTCTTGGTCTAGCAGATTTAATTATCATTAATATCACTAGTAAGAGTACAAATTCTAAAAGGGTGCAACTATTTAGTATTAAATAGCACTAATTCGATTATAGTGAAGAAATAGAAAACATGCGCGCGTGCTGTTATAAAGTGTGCGGGGGTCAGCAGAACACGAGAGAAGTGTTAGGAGAAGCATGAGGCATAGCGGAGTGCTTCTGGACACTTCTCAAGGGTTCTGCCAATCCCTAAGTGCTTTATGACTTAACACAGCACAGCAAGCAAGTTTTTTATTTCTTTTATAAAATACAAATCACAATAATAGATAGAAATGACGCAACGGAAAGTGTGCACGCATGCAATGTGCTCTCATAAAGCATGCGCTCCAAACCAATCAGAACGCGACATTCATAACAGTTATTTTATAAGGAACAATATGGATGCACGCTCTTAAGTGCTAATTATGTTTTATTGCTATAGTGTTCGGAGTTTACTTTATTCTTCTGTTTTGTGTGGAGTTTCAAGACCAATGCTAACATTTTCATTGCAACAGTTATAACAATAATAAGCTGCAGATATCTCACTCTCATGCTAAACTCTAGACCCAAGAATTTCTACAAACAAATTAGGACATAGCCTCTCCCCTACAGTGTATGACAGCTTGTCTACCTATTTCACTGGGGTAGTTTTGGATATCTTATGGGTCTACACCTTAAAATTGCTTTTTTTTTACACTTTGTCTGTCTGTCTCATTTACTTACTCTGTGCACTTCTTGATCTTGTAGACTTTGAACCATGACCTACAATCAAGGAAATACACCCATGGCAATAAGTGTTTTGGTTTCTCAAACATAGAAAAAAGCACCACTATCAAAAGAAGTACAGTTTTTCTCAAAGTGATACAGTCAATTCAAGAAAACATTGTCAACCAACTCAAGCCTATGAGACTGGACCAAAAGAGACTCTTGGTAGAAATCAAAGCCAAGTTGACTGCATAATTTATCTAATTAGTTAAGCCACTAGTTTACAGCAAAAACTAGGCTAGGTGAGCGGGAAGTCTTGAAGGAGACTTTGTATTTAGAAAATGTAAACTGAATCATAACTGCTTTGTTCCCCCCCCCCCCCCAAACCCGAAGACATGCATTTAATGAGTTGTTGCTCGCCATTATTATCTTATAACTAGCATGAACAATTAATTCAGAACGAATATTTAACTGCTTGAGTGACTTCTACCCATATTTCCTTTTGGTCGACGAAAACGATTTTTTGAATTGAATGTACATGAAATCAGCATATATATACCTGTTCTGGCCATTCTATTTGCACACACTCTGAGGTATGTCTGTAACAAAATAACACAATATTTAAAACATTGGTCCTGATTAGCACTTGTAATAAGATTATAATTCCAAACCTGGACTAGTTTCTAATGGTTAATAAATACCTGGTGTCTAGTACTGGCAGGAGTGTCATCATGTGGGATGCCAAGTTCATTCTCTTGCTTTACTCTCTTGTTTGTAATGTGACCCTTAGATAATAACAACCATAGGTATATTAGTAAAAACCCATCACAGTAACATCATAGACTTACTTTAAGACCTGTTAGTTAGATATTTCTAATGTCATTCCCTGGATAGTAAGATTATGGATAAGCTATTGCCAAATTCCAGTAAAAAAATCATTGTCACTCAACTTGGACTCAGCGCTTTATATGGTTTGACCCCAAGCTGGGATAATATGGACTAATGAGAAGTATTAACATTGAATTGAGCATTATCTAAAAACATTTGTTCTTTCAATTAATTGGTGAGTGGTTTGCTACTGGTAGAAATGCAGAGAACCACTTGTTATCATTCAGTTAGCAGGGTATAGCAGGGTATAACAGGGTGCAAGGCTGCTTCACATCAGATACAGCATACATACTTTTCTGGCTTGAATAGAAGATTCTCGTTGACTTCTTCTGGTTTTTCTATGAAATTCATTGAAGAAACATGAAAAGATTGTTCCAGGAAATATACTATGATTAATACTAAGGAACGGCAGGTTTGGGTGGAGAGAGATAGGGACCTGTATCCTCCTTGTGATACATGTGACTTCAAGGGTCATTAAAATACAACTGTTTAAATACAAGTACAGCTACTGCTTTACTTCTTCTGCTCCCTACCTCATCTCTTCATTTGCCTTTTCCATTTCCCAAGCAAAATGACTTTCCATCTCTCCAGGTCTAATGGTTATCCCACATACTGGACAGCAAGGGGTTTTCCCTGACTTTTTGGCTTTGGCTGATGGTAAAATTAGAAAAAAGACAGTTTCTTAATTGGTAATAGACAATTGATAAATCCAAAAAGAATGATAAAAAGGAACAATGTATGATACAGCTATGATATTGGATGCCTAGTTTCACTTCATACACACTTCTGATAATATCCTTGTATTTTCTACATACAACACTCATGATTTATCTTTTATGAAGAGGGTGAACTAGAGGATCTACAGTCATGAAAGAGAATACCCAAAGCCACATGTAGTGTCTTTCAACCACTTCAAGGGTCAAGATACTCAGCCTCTATCCATTGTGAACATGGTACCTTTGAACTTAGACTCCCGGTTCACATGATAGGGGTAGATTCATTTATTGAGTCACCCATGCTTTGAGGGTTTTCCTTCCTTTTTTTCCACCCTATTTTCTTGTTCTCAAGCACATGCTTAAGCATAATACTATTGTTATTGTAATTAATATCATGCAAAAACTAAACCCTTTCTTCCAGATCTGATGCAACTGGACTACATTATGGCTGTATGTCTGCATGAAATATCTAGTAAAATCTAAATGGAGAATTTCTCTTTTTTCAAATCAGACTACAGAAGATATTATTGCACTGTAAAATGATACACTTTTTGAATGGCAGTCAAATAAAAGCCAATAGCAACACAAACAAAATATCCAAAAATTTCATTATTAAAATAAGATTATTGAGATAGCGGTGTCCCTTATTGATAATATGCCTTAACTGTGACATGCTACATGGGAATATTATCTGAGAAATCCTGGATAAGAATGACAGTGATTCATAAAAGAACTTATGATTAAGCTTATGCTTTTAATTATACTATCATTAGAAGTCAATGTTAGCTTTTCATAAAGGCTTTTGTCAAGGACAACGCAAACAGTCTTCTCAGATATTTTAGCTTAGCTGGATTACAAGAATTAATGGTCTTTTTCTATACAAACTAGATAGGATTACTTGATTACGAGGATTATAAAGAAAAAAACCTAAAAATAGATTTGAACTCATAGGGAAAATATTATAATTCCATCTAAACAATTAACTATAAAATTAGCTAGGTCCAAAACAAAAAATAAGGAACTTGAAACAACATTTTGAAGAGAAATATACCAAGCAGAGCTTCTGTGTAATATTATTAGGAGTGAATAATGGAAGGATATCTCAGGTTCATTTTTCTTGAGAAATTTTCTTAATATAAAAATCAAGTTGAATTTTCAGTTTGATGAGAAAATCAATAATTAAAAGTAAAAGAAAAAACTGTATGATTAGCAGATAAGAACTGATTATAGCAAAACTATGAGGAAAATTATATTAATGTTAAAGAAATTAGAGCAATATTGTTCTTGACCTAGAGTTAAAAAATGCTATTTGCACATCTCTTAGTCAAAAAACAGAGTAGTAGTCAAAAGGATTTCTTTCCTTTCTCAACCAGAAAAGACTGTTAATAATAATAATTTATGAGCACTCTAACTACACAAACAAAACCACCAAAGCTTGTTTCAAATTTATTGTTCTTTTTTTAAATTTCAATACGTGATTTGGAATAAATTTTGAAGCAAAAATTATAAGATAAAAAGTTCTCAAAACCTATAAGAAACATAATAAAAAATGGCATCCATTCGACAATAATGATGTCATGTCACATAAAAACGTTGGAAGCTGTTTTTTTATCATATTATGTTACTTATATATTTTAAGAATTGTTTAGCATATTTTCTTTTCAAATAACATACAACTTATGCAAAAAGCACATCTCAATAATTTTATATAGATTGCATTGAGATACATGACAGCATTAATGCAAAGCAATATTTCATTGCCACAAAAGCTGCATAATAATGTCTACAGCATCTTATCATATATACAGTATAACCATTCCATCATCTCCACAGCTAATCCCTCAAATAATACATTTGCAGGGTTTTCATTGAGTTTTTAAAAAAATAATAGGAGATTATGAATGGCTGGAGAGTCCTGGGGACCAAATGAACATTTTACAAATTACTATAAGCTATTAATGGTTGATTAAGCTGCAGAATTTTGCTCAATTATTAGAGCATTTTCCAAACCCTGGTTTGTATGTCTTAAATATATGATGAATGGCTAAATCAGGATTTTTTTGTCTATTGGTGGTCTGATCATGTAATCATTACTCACCAATAGTCATTTAACAATGGCATTATATTGGATATACTATCTCCATCTTACAAGTGACGTTGTATGATATAGGGATTTATATTTCTCATCAGTCTGTCTCATAACTGATCTAAATAAAGAGCTAGTAAGTACAGACCTTGATTAACCTTAGCAATTGGCCTTCATTTCTTTCCCAGCAAATGTTGAAATGGTTGATTTTTTTGTCATGACTTTGATTTTCAATTCAGAATCATCTTATTATTAAGTGAAATAAGAATTAACGTTGCATTTCTCATGGAGCATGAACTAGTCTGCTTGTCTTTATCTTTCATCACTAGATCACATCAGAAAATTTCCTAATTCTACTATGACAGTTAAGTTATCTGACATTGTCTTTGTACAAAAATCCTAAATTTAGATATTCCTAACAAATAGGGATATAGTATTTTATCTTTTTCATTTATCACAAATATTGCTTGGAATGTGTTAATCTAAACTGTAGGGTAACATGAATTGAAGTACCATCCACATATTGGCTGATTTAGTCAACGAAACATTATCTAGATATTCCCTTCTTCAACAACCTCACAGAGGGAAGGTGAAACTATAAAGATACAGCTGTAAAGACACAAACACCTTTGATTGAAACCTTGGACAATTTTAAGGAGACTTCTCTATTGTTTACAGTGTATGCATAACAATAGTTTTTAATCAAAAATAGAATAGAATAGAAATAGAATAGAAACCAAATAGATATTGAAGTATACAGGTGCAAAATCACTGGACCTGTATCTCGTATCTCAATCTACAACAAGTTGGAAAATAATTCAAAGTATACAAAACCAAAAGTGACATCAGTTAGTCATTTCAAGGCAGCTATATGTGACATAAATTCTAGCTATCATAACCGAGTCTCAAAACTGACATCGCAATTCATTGACTTTTTCCTTTTGAAAATCATTAATGGAGTCTGTTCTGATTTAGAATTATTCCTTCTTGTATTTTTGTAATGACTACCTATGGCTTTCTTTCAGTATTGTTAAGCAATAAAATAAGAATCCAATTTAAAATTTGTTAATTTAGCCACATCACGAACTATACATGTATAAAACATGAGATTAACCCTTTTCATATATATATTTAACACATGTACATTACATGGTATTCATTTTCTACAATGTATTTCTGACTACCTTTTTTTCCTTTTACTAATGTTGAGGATATAAGATTTTTAATCTCATAAAAGTGGCTGTGATTATTCTAGTATTTGGGTGTTGCAAAGGAAAGGGAATCCTAAGAGCTTGTCTCATCCATATTGACAATTCATTAAACACTTGCTAACACAATTTACTCAGTAAGTGGATATTAGCAGTGTTGGTAGTGAGCCAGCTAATTCAACTCAGACCTTCTATGAATCAATAAAGAACTCAATCTTTGTTGTGAAACCACATACACTATCTCAAACACTGACCACAATGAAAAATGAAAAACAACTTTCTGAAGGGCTCTTCTTTTCTCTGACTAGTTATTTGCCCAGCTGAATGACTTAATTTGCTTTGTTTTCCTGAAGATTAAGAATTCATTCAGAAAATTATTAGTTAAGTTGCACAATTACAAGAGTTCTAGAAAATAAAAGCCCCTGGCAAATGTTTTAATTAGCCATAATGTATAGTTTTTGTGGGAAACTCTTAAAATACAGGAGGTAAAGTCTTTAGTATTCATAAGTTGTCTTTGAATTGAGTGCCAGAGAAAGAATGCTACTAGTCATGTCAAGGACTTGAATCAACCCACAAACACTGAATATGCAAAGCAGCTTGGCTAGAGTACATTCCAGTGTGAGGTCTGTGGTAACCATAAGCAACACCCCAGTAAATGCAAGCATGAGCTAACCATAAGATAATGACAATACATTGCTTAAACAATTAACAACTGTCGCTCCTTAACACAGTCATGTTCTAGAGACTGCTCTTATTCCAACAAAAGAATTAATAATGAGCTAGGAAGCAATATGGAAAAAAAATGGTGTTCTATTGTACTACATTAGATGAGTCAAAACTTAAAATAGAATATTTTTTGGTCCACAAAAAAAGTACATAATATCAAACTGACTGATTGATGAAATGTGGGATAAAAACTAAAAAGAGGGAAAGAAATAATATTTTCACACATTCAATACAGGTACACAAACCCTTAATGCACTTCTAAATGAAAATTGAGGTGACTGACAGGTTAAATAGAACAGTAAAGGACTTGAAATGTTATCAGAAAAACCTCTGGCTGATCAGAAATAATAAGGGAATATACTACTTACTGGAAAGTGATTACTTTGGGAAGTCTATACTTAATGTGCACACAGATCAAGTCATTCGACAATCAGAGACAGATTGGAGCCAGAAAAGGTTAAACAACCTAATTTGAACACTACAAAACCACTAATGTTGAATAAAAGTTCTGTAAAAGCAACCTCTAATCCCCTAAGTGAATTAAGCTTCTCAAGCACACGAGGATTGAAAAGTTAAACATTCAGTTGTCAGTATTTAATCTTGTAAAGTGGAAGGAACTGGATGAGTGTGCATATTGGGGAGAATTCTTGTCTCCAGTAGACCGTGTAAACAGACATTACTCTTATTGAAAAAGAATAATAAATTTGAGTCTTCTTTCATAAATTGAAAACCAGAGAAAATGAAGGTGGATTTGGGTTTCAATGTTTGGTATAGTTCATTCATTTGGTTACCGGTAATGTGTTTTAAGCCACATCCTAAGGGCATAAAGAGCAGAGTAAATGGCTTGTTATATGATACACAGCAAGGCAGACAAGAAAGTCAACAGCATAATATATCTTACAACTTGATAGGCAAGAAATGAATAAAAATAATTAGAATAATAACCATTGTCAGCAGAACTGGCAATTCTCTGGCAATGTTCTATCACAAGTGAAAACCTTTCTGACAAAGAATGACTCTGAAATGTAAAACAAGATATCAACCATCAATAGAATAAGGAGTATTTGTTTAAGATGTGTTTGAAAGGGATTTGGGTTTCTCTGAAACTTAATCTTTATTCCTTAAAAAGATTAAAGTGATTTGTTCGTACATGATTCTGATTCTTCAAAAACTTGTGCTCCAAATATTTCCTTATTGCATTAAAAAAATATTTACCCTAAAATCTTTTTCAAAAAGTAATATTCATGACATCAAGCTTGCGAGAGCAAGGATTTTAACTCTCATATTTCTAATATATTATTGTGAAAGTGGAACTGAGAATGAAACATTGTTAACCTGAACACTCATAGAATAGTCAAAATGTTGTTACAGCTAAATTACAATTTTCAATATGAACAAAAATATTAGAAAGGAGCTTAAAGCAGCTCAAAATGATAATTTTTGTAATCTAAAAGACCCAAAAAGATAAATGTCAAATATTATCACAAATGTGTGAATTGGTAAACCATTGGTGGTCACATCACAGCTCTTCATATACAGACTCAGTAAATGGAAAGGCAATTTAAACAAGTCATAAGATAACTAACACTTGCACACAATCCCTTAACAACGCACAATGAAACACTCAAACATAAGAGGCTCCAAAAATCCTCAAGCTACAGTTGAAAAACAAAACTGTTTGAGGACCACTTTGGCAAAGAAAGCTGAGACAACACAAAACTTGTTTTAACAAAAATCCAAAAGGGGTTGGTTTTTTTGACATACCATGGTGATAGGAGAAGGCTAGTAATATTCTGTTTTCTTATGCAAATAAAGCAGCTGCTTGGCCCTCTTTGTGGGAGTATATTACATATCAACTATTCCTAACAGGCCTTAATGTTTACAATTAACATGAAGAACTTGAATAGGAACACCAGTAAGAAGGAAAACTCAATAACTACTTTCTTTTCACATCACAAAAAAATATGCCAGACTGTTTTAATGAGAAAATTGCAAAATGATAAGAACAGAGTAATTTATGCTTGAAAACAAGTTGAATGGTAAAAAATAGATTTTTTATTCTAGGAAAAAAATTAGCACTTACTAATTTCCTGATGAACACAGAGAACAGTTCTATTAAACAGCAAAAAGGAACTCAACTCAGAAATTCAATCAACAGAACAAAGGACAAGAAGAATCTTAATAAACATGATTAAATTTTAAAAGTAGTGGAAGTCTAGAATTAACCAATATCTCAAATCAGTCTTAAGAAAAACAAGAGGAAATAAATCCTTTCTTCAAAACAATATTAGGATAGTTCAAAATGATTCTATTTCCCTCGAAATAAAAAAGTTAAAGCTTTCTTATTGATATCAAAGTCCTTCTCTAAATATTCTTTACTTTAATGCAGATGCAAACACCAATTATGAATTAATTATCTCTATACCTTAAATAGTGGAAAGTTAGAAACCAAAATTTCAGATTTGATGATGAATAAATTAGGATTAATACTGGATGTATTGTGAGAAGGATTTTAAAATCTAAGATGTATCTAGACACAATCTTAACCTAATGCCATGCTTTTAAAATAAAGGAGTATGATTCGTGTCAGGAAATTTAAAACACATTTGAGAGGTCCACAGTTTTAGAGCTATATATTGCTGTAAGCTAATTCATGCAATGGGTGGTGTACAGGTGTTTTTGAGGATCTTCACTGATACAGATTTATTCCTCTCTCAAGAGCTCCTTAACTCATCTTAAAGTTAAACAAAACAACCCATATCATTTTTTTCCTCACCTCACCAACAACCACAGAAATATAAATATATACTCTAATACTGATCATTATCACATGAATAATTTTCTACTCACTTCTTCTGTTGCCATCAGCCTGGTTTTCATCAACAGCAATTTCACAGCACTCTTTGATATCTTCTTTTTCTTGTTTAACCTTCACTGTATCAAATCTTGGGTTGTTTTCGCTGCTTTCAGTGGAGTGAGTACTGCGAGGGCTTGCATTTGGGGAGTGGTCAGTATTATTAGTGTATTCTCCCATTTCTCTATCAGTAACTTGGGGAGACACTTTATCCTTGCTCATTCTTTCACGCTCACTTTCAAGGTCCAAGGATGAGCGCTTGTGGTAAAGACTCTCAAAACTATGTTCTCTTTCTAACAAACTTCTCTGATGCTGCAAGTGATGAAAAGAAAAGCTATGTTCATGAGGGCTAATCCTTCTGAATGCACTGGTACCATTAAAAACTGCAGTTGGTCCTGAAGTCTTGTGTAATAATCCACTTCCCAAGTGAGAATGAATCTGGAAATAATGAGGGTTGTAGTCGGGAGAAACTCTGTCAGAGTAACGTTCACTGGTTTGTTGACTGTGATACAAAGATAGGTGCGAGGGGCGATGCTGATAGGGAGAAGTGCTCAATACCATCCTATGAAGAGTGTCTCCATCAATGAACCTGCTATTGGAGGAAGAGTATTGAGCATGGTAGTCACTGATAGAACTTGGTGATGAAGCTGTCGGGTGTGTGGCTTCTGCAGTAGAAGCTAAAACCATCAAAGCAGGTGAAGTTAGAGGGTTGGGAATATATGCCGGTGTACCCAATTTCTCCATCATTCCGTTTTTCGATTTTTCTTGTTTACACTTGGTTAACCTTTAGGTCTGTGACCAGTATCTAGACTGCAGCTCAGCTTAAGCCAATTTTGACAAACCAGCTTGTTTTCTTGACAGATTTAACTGCTACGGCTAATAACTCGGCAGCACTTGTTTAACCCGATCCAGTCAAAAAAATTTACGCAAAATTCGGTATAATGCCAGTCTGTGCACAGCTTCACCTACTGACTATTTCAGGAAGATTACAACTAAAGCATTCTTCAAATGGCTAATAATTTCGTTAAAAGGCCTAATCACTCGTAAACTACCGTCCTTAAAGATTTTGACGCAAAAATCATGGATAAATAGATAACAGTGAAGTGAATGTCGACTGTTCAGCAGAACGAAAGTTGGAAGAATAAACCGTAGTACGGTGCAAGCTACCGGACCACACGTTCACTTCAAGTTCTTGAGGTCTCAAACTGAACTGGTTGAACAGCAGCTGAACTGGTTGAACAGCACCTGAACTGGTTGAACAGCAGCTGAACTTAACCCGAAGTGGTAACTTCCATGCTAATTTAACGTGACTCGTGCTCTTGTTGTCACAACTTGAAATTAGTAATGAGTTTAATACGTACAAACTACTTAACCGAGACCGGACATGCGCTCGTAAAAAATAACAAAACCGCCGAGCTGCCAGTCGCAAAATAACCTCTCTACTGTCAACTTTGGACTTATTAAAGTGATAAGCTTGGGCAGTAAAGCACGCTAACCGGAAGATGGAGAGGATTGAGTATAGATAGAACTCTGCTCACATCAACATAAATTCATCTACTAACCTTGCAGCTGCCGAAGTCCTTGCTTTATTTTGCTGTGCAGCGCGCATGCGTACCACCACTAGCCTTTTGAACGCATAGCTGGTTGCGCACGGGTCCGGCCACCCCCAGAAGTAGTAAATAGCGATTTACACCTAATGAAAATTTCCCCTGTAGTATAAACAATACAGCTTTAATTTTGATATTTTACAAAGAACCTGCTGACAAGCCTCCTTAAACTAACATTTACGGCTTGATACTTCCATTGGTTTTCAAACATCCGTTCATTCTTGCCTTCCATGTATCAAAGTTTAATAAAAACGCTTCACTTCGGACACCTCCAAGGAATGGTTTGTTTAACCATATTTGAAATAACCTTAAGTGAAACATTTCTTTGAAACTGCAAATAGATATTTGTTTACGACAAAATTAAATTTTCACAATTTGCCACAACATCCCAATTGACTTGAAAGTGTTATCATACATAATGATAGGTGTTAGATGGGAAATTGGCCATATTCATGTCAAATTTGAAGTAAAAAAAGAATTCTGATTCATTCAAGTACTGACGAATCGCATGCAGAAGAGTCCAGGGCCGAGCAGAATGCAATCGAAAAATCAAATTTGCAGGATAACAATGTCTTTTTTTAATTAACCAAACTCGCTGGAAACCTTAGCTTTGTCTCTTTCTACAAGTCCCTCAGTGAACTTGGCTCGGCTTCTCGGCAAGACTTTAGATTAAAAATCTTAGAATTCTTAGTTTTTCCGGTGCTGGTTAAGGTTCCAAACTGTTGTTATCAATAAGTTCCCCGATGTTTGAGGAAGCAGCTATTTTTAAATGTTTATTGCTTTGTAACTTTGAATTCCAAGCCGAGGACGTAAATTGTTAATTCGGCAGTTGATTTGAGCAGTGGCTAGAGGGGGATTTGATTGTGTAAAGTTTTCAAATCATGGCTCAATAATTTCATAAAAGAAATAAAAGTTAAATCTGCTTAAGCCCTCTCAACGGATGTTCGCTTCTTTTCAACGCATTCATTGTGTTTCCACTTGGAAAACATCTTTATAAACTTCACAGCAGCAAATTTTGTGCCGTAACATTTCCAAATACTAAACATCGAAATTTATACACAACCGACCATCCAAATATACAGTAGTACTTTAGGTAACTGTAGTTACATGTTTTTTGTTTTGTTGTTGTTGTTTTTTGTTTTTTTTTTCATTTCATTTTTTATAGTGTGAAAAGGCAAGCATCATATATTAAACCCAGTTAAACAATTCACGCCGGCAGGTTTGGCAAGAACAGAGTTTTTTCATAGTTTTGTGTAAGTAGTTGGCCGAGGACAGATCAAAGTACTCAGGTGTTGCATTCATTAGTGACAAAATTAAGTATCTATTCTCGAAGTCAACCGAGCCTTTATTGTTGTTTTTCATCACATTAAACTACTGCAAATAGGTATAGGTTAAAACCAGTATGCCTTTCAGTTAAGCAACCATGATTAACGAGGGAATGTTTCACTTTAAACATGACACATAAAATCTAAAAAGAAAAAAGAAATGAATAGGCATCATAGAAAGGAAATAATTGAAAGTTTTAGGGTTCACATTTAATTCACTGTCTTTGGAAAAGAAAAAAATCTACATTTGAATCTATTAAAAGATCCTTTTAGTGCGTTTATTAGTAAGCAGGAAAGAATAGTGTTCTTCTAGTCGACCAATTTCTATGCTAATTAGATCCCATTTACAGTGGAAAATAAAGTAAAAGGAGCCATTAAAAATTTACTGCCTCGGGCCGGAATTTCCTCAAGAAAGCCACTGACCTATCCTTGTCTCGAAGACTGATAAATATATTTTGTTCGGATTAGTGTACACAAATAGGAGAACAATTTAATTCGTTGAAAAAATTGGAAAAGATATGGCGCACGATTTGTATCTAGCGCTTATTGGAAAACCATATCATGCCGTTCTTTTGATACTCTCTGGGACTGAAGCAGGAACCCACTGCGATATCATTTGGTACATTCATAGTATAAGCCGCAGGACAGCTATTGTTAAGTGGCACAAGCCTCCCGCTGGCTTTTAGATAAACTCGATACACTGTTTTCAGTTCAACTATGAAAGACTAGCTTACGGAGAGAGCGTCATCTAGGGCCTCCTACTGAACAATCTATATTCCAATTCATTGGCCTTTATTTCGCTTCAATCTTTTGAAATCCACCTCCAGCATTGAAACAGCAAATCCTTCCGCCTTAAACAAAGATTAGTTTTGATATAAACTAGCTCTTTTGGCTCAGAAAAAGAAGTTGAATAACTGACCTTCAGAACAATGCTCAGGAAACACAGAAAAACTAACGCGCGATGAAAATTAACTTATTTCAAAATTTAAAAAAATCCTATGAAAGATTTAATTATTAGCAACGTGCTGTTTAGAATTTGCTGAAGAGGGGAGTTTGGCTAATTGTGTTTCACTTTTGGCACTTGAATCTGTAAATTGGAGCGTAAATGCGAGTTATTTTCGAGTTCTAAGTGCTTTGAGGTCGAAATCAAGATTTGGCGTATTTAATTTCAAACTGACAACAGACTTCTTTCGTCTTTTTCTCGCAAATGAAAACTCATCGGAGCTTAAATTTAAATGCTGCAGCTGCCTGGGTCCTTTGTCTGTAAAACTGATGGTATTATCCCTGTTAATAAAGCAAAATTAATCAAAAGTACAACGCTATTGTTTACACTCCCCAAATACTACGTCTAAAAGAGAGCCTGCTTTTTCTTTTGAAAGCTAATAGGTTATTCAAAGCAAACATTCGAAGCGTAGAAGTAGAAGCATTTACACATTCGTAGTCATTACCAAGGATAATTTTTCTTCAAAGACAAATTTGTCAAAAAAGTCAACTAAAAGCGCCTATCACGAGGAAAAGAAATCTCATTTCCTATCATTTGGCTTTAAACGAAAAGCCATTTGCTAACTAGAAACTGGCTTGTTAGTGAGCTTAAAACGATTGAGTTGTTCACCTGCTCACCGGTTTACGATAAACACTGCAATAATTTACAATTCTAACAAAATTGGTCTGTCATTGAAGGTGATTTGAACTGTGTCGGCTATAAGAGCGATTGACTCACATGGTATTGAAGACATTGGTGGATTTATGAATAGCTAACTCTATTCGATCACTCCCCCCTAAAGATACATACAAAAAAAAAAAAAAGTTACAAGAAAATTACAAAAATATAAATAGAGTAACAATATAAACAAATTGAAAACAACTTTTTTCATAAGAACATGACCAAGCTGTAAAGACTTGAGCCTGTCAGTAAGACTCGCCATTTATCTAGTATTATTTGATTCCTCTAACGATATTTTCTTTTCTTTCCGGAAAAATGTTCATCTATAGAAGCCGGGTCCTTTTAGGAAAATTGATTAAAAACTTAACTCGATATCAAAATGATAAAAATGTCTGTTTAAATACTTGATTAGTCCGTCAAAACTTCTCTTTCGCTATTCACTGAGCGTGTACGACTTCATTCAGGGAGTCCTCTTAATTTTTCCCCACTAATTTGAAAACGATAATTGGGTTTGAATACAAGGAATAGTTTGAAACTAAAAGCACCGTTAACTGCGGACAGTTACCATTATGGCAGGTTGTCGAAAACAATAGCGTCAAGTTAACTAGAAAAATTCTATACGAAATAATGAAACAAAAAAACTCTTTGCCAAATGAATTTAAAAAAGTGAAGTGCAGATGATTTTGTTCATTCTCCCCTCTATTTGGAATGGTTAAAAGGTTTCTTTATATCATTTTACGGACGACAAGAAGAGGCGCTCATAATAGCTTACAAGAGAAAACCCATGTCTTGTATTTTCCGATTGCCTTGAGGGCTGGACTGTTTCACGTCGAAACCGATAAGACCCAAATGTCGTACAGGCTATCCTACTGGCTCCCTCAGACACACTGTTTATGTTTCATGATTTTGTATCTCGCATTTAGAATGACTAATATCAGCATTAATATGACATTTTCATCTTATCTTTCCCTTTGGTAATCGACTTCCAAACATATTGCCCGCATGATCTTGCCAATAAGTCACAACTTCTTAGCGCCTTTGAAGTGTAAATTTAAGGGGGGGATTTTGTGTAAATAGATATGACATGCAAAAGCATTTTCATACAATTTAAATCGAACTTTTTCATTGGAAAGTTTTTCTTGGTGCAAAAACGGTTAGCTTTTGGCAGATCGTTTTAATAATGTAATAAAGGTTTGATATCGGTGTTCAAGTATTGAAAGTAACTTTGATACGACTGGGCTCGGCAGAAAAATGGCTTCGGCTTTAAGACATTTTAAATGCTCAATTGAAATTCTGCACTGATATTTCTTGAGATTTGTTTATCTTATCAGTTAGAGGATCAAAAGAATCGACATAGATTTTTATTCAAAGTAATATGCTCAAAGCAACCGCACGGCTTGCTCAGGAACCATTTGAGGGGCATTTTATAAAACCATTATCGGTCTAACCTAAAGGCGAATTCGAGTTTCCCCCTCAATTAGTCCATAACGTCTTTCCTTCTATTTAGTCTTTAACGAATGACAAGCTTGCCTGGAGCTGGAAATTACAAAAGACTTAAACTTTTGAACAAAAAATTATTTATTCATTAAATTGAATCCTTTCTGGAGAAAAATCGCTGAATTAAAGTTGTCTGATACCAGTTGCTTAAACCACGCTGAACCTTTTTTACAAATAACTTCTAATCGTATTCAAATTGTAGTTCCCAAAATGGTTGCCACAATTCCGTTTTGCCGACAAATATTTGGCTAATATTGACACAGATAATACGATTAGACACTCTGTTCTACGTTTAGAGAGAAGTCTAATAAACAGCTTCCAATAAGACTTCAGCTTGTCCATCAGTTGCGCCAAGTAAAAAATGATCTCTCGGAATACTTTTGAAATACTTCTTTAATGTACAATTATTCATTTAGATAAAGTAAATATCGCCAAGACGGACAGCAGGTTAG